ACCCGGAAAGGTAAGCGCTTGGACTGCAGCCCATTGTTTGTACAGTCTGCGTGTCACGCTGGGTTTACACACCATAATGCTTTGATCAAATGGGATGTGTCCATGACACAGAAATGTAAAACTCAGCTCGCTCCCTCTCTCTTCAGTATAGAAGTGATGGCAGAAATAAATGAACACCATCCCCACGAACTCGTACTTTTCATTCAAGCTGGGCTTTCAGTAAAGATTGTCTGAAGCTAAGAAATTACTTCTTTTCTTCTCTGCTGATGCAGACGTCCTGTTCCCCCAGCAAAGAAAACACGTGCGCTGACATGGGCTATTTACACTGTGTGAATCTTATAAAAATGACTAAAAACTAAGACTGAGGTCACAAAAGAAAAATAGCCATCTGGGAGATAAGAACCATTTAGAGTGGCCAAACCAAAAGCTTGGAACTTCACGAGACCTGAGAGTCCACAGCGGCAAACCGTAGCAGATAATCGCAGGATGATGATCGGTGTGACTAAAAAACACCTTCCCAACATTTGACCAAGTGATCCGCTCTCCCAGGAGGCAGGCATATCTATGCAGTATGTGTAGTGAGGAGCGGTCACAGAAAGATTCAGATTCTAAAGACCGGATTAAGTATGAAAAAAGAAAGTCACAAAGATAAATACATAAGTGCGTAGAAGTATTTGATGGTTAGCAGCGTCCCCTCACAGTGTGAGGGCTCCTGGTTTCACTCTTGGCCGGGGCCTTTCTAAAAGCAGTTTTCATTTTGTTTTGTTTTTTCCTATATAGTGGAAATACTGCATGCGTAGCAATTTGGTGTTTTGGAATACACTGCCAGGGCAAGTGAGAGCGAAAGTATTTTTTGTCTTTTGCCTCATTCTCGGTGATGGATTGGTGACTTATCCACAGTGGAACCTGCCTCCATGCCCAAGAATCCCAGTCTCCCAAAAAGAAGAAATGAAAAAACAAGAAATCCTGGAAACTGGTGACCTGTGCGGGGTGTGCGGCTTGGGAAATGATCGGTAAAGGATATGCAGGCAGACTGAGGAGTGGAGCATCAAGAGGCTAGTGGAGTAAACCAGTTACAGAACTGTTATTGGCTTGATGACTAAGATGCCTCTCATTTGCAGACCATAAGACCACAGACATAAGGAGCAACGAGCAAACAAAAACACAGGCCTGTCACTCACGGCCTGGAAATCCCCTGGCTGTTGACAGAGTATGAAAAATGAACAATTTGATCTATTGTTCGTTTCTCAGACAAATTCCATTTGATAATACGTTACAATGTTTTTTTTTTAATGAGTTTAAAGAGCTTACACGTGTATATCAGACTAACTGAACAGTAGAAGCTGTTTGGGTAAAGAGCACAATTCGTTCCGTTACAATGTAATTAAAACTTGGATTTCTAAAAAGAAAGCTTAAAAAAAAACTATGTTTGTGACTGAAAGGACACTGAGAGAATTCCATGTTGCGAAGGCCTTTGATCACTCCGTCCTCCTGGCTTTTGAGATGGCTCCCTTTTCCTGAAACCTGTAAAAAGGATTGTCCCCGCGTTTGCGCTCCATGTTTATGTTCCGCGTTCATCTCCTGAAAGCCCGTAACATTTACTACCGTGCTAAGGCTTTCACACTTGCCGTCCACATTTACTCAAGCTGGTATGCTGAACGAGTGTGTAAATATAAAGAATTGTTCCCTCTCGACGAGCTTGTACTCGGCGGAGCCTCCTCCAGGGGTCAGGCGGTTAAGGGGCCTGTCCGACGTCCTTAATTTATGGGTGTCTCTTTGAAAACATCGGGGAGTTGTGAAGCTGTGGCACCGGTTTTTTGGTGCTGCAGCTGTTTTTACTGTCACGGCCGTAAAGCTCCCCTGGGAAGGGAGAGGCAGGAGAAGGAGCGACCAGAACAATGGCTTGTCATATGGCTTGGAGAAAGGCAAAGTATTGTGCCTGGAGAAAAAAAAGAAGAGATGTTTGCTGGGTGTGAGAGTAGAAAACTCATCATGAAGTAAAGATAGTGGGAGTGTGGGGAATGGGGGGAATCACATCTGTGCATTCAATCTCCCTGCCGAAAAGCAGCCTAATGGAAATAATAAACAGAGCCTTGATCTTTCTTTTCCTTTATCTCTTTATGTGCTGCTTTTCCTGTTGCTCCTTTAGCTTTGATTCGATTTGCCTCCTGTCACAGTGGTTTGTTAGAGGCATTATCTGTGACATTGGCAGCTCCGGAGAGCCTTCCTGTGTAATCAGGAGAAGAAATGGGTTTAGTTTCCTGAAAGCTTTTAAACACAAAATCACCATAATTCTGTGGGAAATGTGATTTTTTTTCTCTCGGGACAAAGCTCCCAGGAATATTTACCCATTTACCCATCAAGAATCTAACCACGGGCGAAGTGCTGTGGTTGGGTGCTGATAAAAACCTGCTTCACATGTTGCAGGGATGCTGCATGCCCCAATTGTACAGTTGCCATAGAGGCGTGCTAATCCATTTCCTCCTCACGATCCCGGGAAGTTATCAGAAAAGGTCGAGCACTCCACTTTCACTCGAGGAGGATTTCAGCCGTGGAGAAAACTGTCACCACAGCTTTCTGCAATTTGTTACTGTGTTTCCCCGATAATCCACCGAGAGTTTACTGCCATGTTATCAGCTCCGTGAAGCTGTACTTTGGCACAAAGCAGCGCAGGGCTAAATGCTGGAGCTACTGCGGTTGGAAAACGTTTGCTTGCATCTCAGAGGAAGGTGCTTTGGCACATGCAACACATTGTTCATGCTCTCACCACCATTTGGTCCTTTTGGTCCCCACTCACAAGTACTTTAAGCATTTAATTTCTGCTCTAAGAAGAAAGCAAAGGAAAATATATGTATTTGAAATATTTTTTGTAGAAAAAATAATCAGAATTGATAGTTTTCATAGATGGTTGGGTTAACACATGGTGGTGAAAGTATGAAATTTGGAAAAACTCCTATTATACAGATTATTTATGTAGGTTAAATTATACTAATCTATTCTCTGATTGAGGATAGTTGGTGGAATGTCTCATGTACACAGATGTGAAACACTGATTTGACTTTTAGCGACATGTGCTCCATGTATTTTGTTTCTTATTTCCTTACAAATTCAGGAGGAAGAAAGGTTAAAACATCACCAAGTAGAAGTGAATGCTCTTCACATCATGCTGTTAATGGATATCGGTTTTTGCTTCCTCTTTTATGTGCGTGCCAAATCCTTTCTAAATCCAACAGGAATCATTGACGTGTGGCCTTTTTTAGGCCGCAGATATTCTGTTTATTCATTCAGTTATTCATTGTCCAGACCAATTATTCCAGGCAAGACTGAGGGACGGAGTGGGGGTGAGAGGTCCATCGTTGGGCCAAAGATAGACGAAGAACTGCAAACCCTGTGTTCTGTTTTTTCAACCAAGAATCAACCGCGATCGCTTAATGCTTCCTTTTGTGTGAGGCCAGCAGGCCTTCCACGTCAAAGATGAACCCCTTCTCCTCTGACAGCTATAAATAATCACATAGAAGCTCTTTTGGTTTCCAAAAAAAAATCTTTTTTTTTATTTCACAAGAAAATTTTTTTCACATTTATCATATTTATCAAACTGGTCTTTTATATAATCTATATATATTCATATGTACATATACACATATAATACACGTTTTTACTTACACATGTACAAAATTAGGCAAAAAGAACCAGGTAAAAAAAAGACTTCAGTTTTATTCATACACCGTTGTGCTTTGTCTCTCTGGCAAGCCTGTCTAATGAAGATGTGCTTGGCATCTCGGTTTGGTGCTGTGTCTTTTCAGTTGTTGAGGAGAGTGGATGACAACGTGTCTATATTTTTGAAAACTAAATTGCCAAATAATATATATTTTTTAAAGAAGTATGACGTTTTTTTCCATCAATTCATGATGAGAAACAGGATCGAGTCCTGTAATAAAGAAAAATTTGACACCAGCTCCTCAAAATTCAGATTTTTTGGCCAATTCAGGGGCAAGGCCCAACCTACAGAGAAGTCCAGCCTCTCACCGATACACACTCCATCTCAGTGTTTGCTTTCGGCAGAAAAAAAAAAATCATCCTCAACAATCTTTCATTCAGGCAAACCCCAGCTCAGGCACATTCTCCTATTCTGTTCAACACACACATATTCTCTCTCACACAGATCCCCCCCCCCTCCCCGCCCCCAGTTCGCCATCAGTAAACATTTCATTGTGTGAGCACATAGTATGTACAGTAAAAACCTCTCAGCTTCAAAAGTCATAAATTATTTTCACAGAATGTACACGTAACATAATATAGTGTGTTTGTAAAAGTGTTTGTGTCCGCGTGTCGCACTGTTTTGGAGTGTGTGTTGTCTGTCCTGTGCAGTATTAGTGCTATTCCACGTGAGCACATGGTCTGCAAAAATGGCCGCCATGAGAACAACCCCTGTGTCTGTGAATGCTACATTGAAAGAAAGTAATCACTTGAGACATCAACGCCACTCGATGACAATAATAACAACACAACAGTACAAGTAGTACACAATACTCATGGGTGGAATAGTGTACAAGTAGAAGAGAGGGCTGATCTTTGGCTCAAAGGGTTTGAGTTTACTTAGCTCTTACACACTAACTTATTCCATCTAAATACAGCTAAACGTGGGGTGAGATGGACTCTGTGCCATTGATTGTTCCTCCACAACTTCATATCACTATGAAAGGATGTGTCTTCAAAAGGTGAGCTTTTTTTGGAGAGCCCCCCCCCCAAAAAAAAATATACAACTCAGGGAGAGCTTTGTCTTAAAAAAAAAAAAATCGGCATCTTTTTGAAAACTAGGACTAAGCATCAACGCTTTGTTGCAAATGCTCAGAGTTCCACAGCACAAAGCCCCTCTGTCCTTTATCAGCTTCAAAAGTCTCTCCCTGTGGCCAGCACCGGGCATGGATTTTAAGTCAGTGGTTTGCAACCCCCACGGACTGTCTTCATGGTAGTCCTTGAAAAAAAAAAATTAAAAAAAGGAGTGGTCTCCCCAGCAGGACTTCAGTGCAACAAAAGCAACAGCGAGAGGGGGACCAGCAGCGAGAGGGTGGAGAGGGATGCTGCAACCACGCCGGAGTTCGTCCGGACGCTCTTCTGGACGTCCGGCAGGATCACCACCGGGTCATCTGCTTGAAGAAGGGGAAGAGAAAGAGAAGACATGTTAGTTTGTGTACTCAGTGCAGACTTGAATGCACCTGCGCGGTCTTTAGGTCGGAGATAACGAGAGGATGAAGGATCGGTCAACCAACCTGCGGGCAGTCTGTTGGAGGGGTTGTGAACGCCCCCCCCTGCTCCGACTGCAGCCCCATCTGTGCCTCCTTTAGCCACTCTAGCCTCTTGAGATCCTGAATTACAAAAAAAAAGAAAACATGATCAAACACTCTGTCCGGGTCTTAACACAACTATCGGAGGTGAGAGTGTTTACAACTTTCATTTAGCAGGATGTTAAACTTACCATCCGCCGCAATGACATCCACCCTGAGCCTGAGACACTCTTTGCCATGATGGTGCAAAGGTTTAGCTGCACGGGAGAGGGAAACAACAGCACAGGTATTAACATTTAGACTAATGCACTTATCCTTCCTCCTTAATCCACCTTCATGCATGCGTGCATACAAACACATTCACCCTAATTCTTGGCAACGGGGAGACACGAGCACAAAGCCTCAGGAGGCCATCTGCGAGCGGGCAGAGTGTGTCTTGTCCCGCCGTTTATCTAATTACACTCGTGGTCAGGGTGACACATTTTTTGGAGCCTAGTGCACGTTCAAGAAGGGTAAACACTACACAATCTGAGCCGGGCAGCCCTGCCCCGTAACGCGATCGCTTTCAGCATTTCAATGCTGCACCAATCAAACCATCAGAGATATTTTTAAACTCATGATGTAAAATCAGACTGGAATTCGTCCATCCCATCGAGGTGCTGTGGGATGAGCATTCGCAGTTCTGGCCTCAATATCCAAGTTTTGTTTTAGTTTTAGCATAGTCTCTTTTACAGCTCCCTCCCAAAAGTGTCAGTCTGCTCCTATTGGACAACTGGCTGTTTAAACGCGGTGTGAACCCACAACAAACTTCATTACAAATACACGTTGATGCAGAAAGTTGGTTTAGCCTTTGTTAAATGGTAAGCTGAATGCTCAAGTTTGTTTGGACTTTAACCTAAAACAATCCCTCAAAAAAAAAAAAGGTAAAACTGTTCCAAAATACTGTTTAACATATATGTTTGTTTTGCATCTTAAAAATCTGTTGCCTGGATTTCCATGTCCAATCTCTCTATGTACACATGATTAAACCACTTATTACTTTTCTATCGACTTCCACTGCTATTGGTTGACAGTACACAAGCCCTGTGGCTTATCTGGTTATCCAGAGAAACCTGGACAGCGAAGTTGGGGCACTGTTTCTCATATCTGATTTCAGAAGTAAATGGAAAACCAGCAGCTTGGATGTATTTTCTGGTTTCTGGGAGAATGTATAATTTCATTTGGTCCACAATTAAATTTCTCACCCAAAACCGACAAAAATGACATTTCTTGTGTTTTTTGGCTCAATATTTTGCTTAGTCAGCGTGTCAAATTGTGACGTTGAACATGGGGAAACAGCTATCGACACACATTCGCTTTAACCTCAAAGCACATAAAGGATGGATTCAGACACCAAGGAATTTTACAGAAAGGTGACTTTTTTTGGGTCTAACTTTGAAGAATCTGAGTGCAAAAGTAATACTTACAGATATAATAGTAGCTTTCTCCTTGACGAAACTCCTTTCCCAGAGTGAACGGGGTGAAACGCTGGAATTTTTCGGAGAACTTCTCAGGAGCGTGAGGGGCAAAGGGATGGCCACACTCCCAGCGCATCTGATCGTATGACTGGGGCTTGCAGGACTCGTAGTCTTCCCGCTCCACCATGTAGAGCACGTAGCGCTCGGCGTCCAGCAGTGGCACCTCACCCTGAGGGTAATGGGGGCAGACGATGTCCAGGTAGTCGTTCAGCTTCACCTCCACGGCGTAGTTGTCCCATTGAAACCTGCAGGGAGGAGAAAGTGGAGGAAGGTTAGGAGGGCGGTAAGAGACTGATGACTGTGGTCAGAGAAGAGGAGGTCTGATAAATATAAGACTCAAAACCCCTGATTATATATCGATCCGGTGGACAACGGGGAAATCAGAGGAAAGAGTGAGAGGCTTGAGAATGAAAGGGAGCGAATAGGACAAAGAGAGAATTTGCATGACAAAATGTGTAATGCAACAAAAAATAAGGGGGGAAAATGCAATAAGGGAAAGGTGATTTGCAGAAAACATGCGCATAAATATGGATGAGCGTTAGGTCTGGAGTGGCCGCGGCTCGCCTCTGAGCTGAGAGTTAGCGCTGAGTGCACATCGATCCCACGTCCCCCCCCCGGGAGTTCAACGATGTTTACAAAGAAACATTAGCAAGTCAGTTAGCCCGTCAAGACAGGAGATGACTATCGACGATCTGCAGGGCCACACAGTCGCTAGCACACATCGTGCAGCAGAATGCACAATGACGAATGTGCCTCGGAAGTGACACGCTAGATTTTTATGGAGGGATGGAACTGGGATGCCCCGATCCATCACAGTGAGATGAACGGGCACACAAACGCAGCACGGGTCTGGTGATAGCCCGTAAAAGACTTCCATCACATTCCCTTTCATTACAAACGCAGAGACAGTCAGACTGTCGCCCCTCCATTCCTCCATGTGCTCCTCCACCCTCTTTACGATGCTCTTTGACTAAACTTCCTCGTCGTTTCATTAACAAAAGCGCCAATTATTTCCACTCTCGCTCACTGCGCATAAACAGTCGCATTGATAAAAAAGTTCAGACCAGCTAACGGACAGTCTAACGCACTCTGAGGCAGTTCGTCTTTTCTCAAACAATCCGCGGCTCTCTTCCCCTCTTGGGTTTGCTTGTAGAGATATCATGGGTTTTGTCTCAAGGGAATTGTCACTAAAAAAGGTATTTCAGCTTTGTTTCCGAAGACTGAGTGAGTGCTCCAGGGGGCGGCTCACAGCTAATGCTCTCCTCTCAGCCAAAGTCATCTATCAGCAGCCTGGAGCGGTAGCTGACCGCTAGTAACACACACACACACACACACACACACACACTCACACAATCTCACTTCACAGTAATTCTCATCCATCAACAACCTAAAGCTGCAGCTACTTACTATTTACACCCACTGGACTCACACAGCCATACATCTCCTCCCTTGGTGCGGATCACCCAAGTGATGCCTATCAGTTTACCATCTCCTACTGTTCTGGATTACCAGAGGGAACCCCTGAGAGTGGACCAGATTTGACAGACTTAAATATTTTCACAGCACACAATGGAAAATGTGTGTGTAATATAGGGTTTTGTTGCCTTTGGAATGAATATATGTAAGTCAGTCAGGCTTTTCGACAACCCCCGAAAAGATCTGAGCTACAGATCTTTAGAGTTGTGGCTTTTGGAAAGTCTGGAGGGTGTTAAGCTGACCCCTTTACCGCCGAAGTATTTTCTTTTCCTCATAAAAGCACCTTAATGTAACTAGTAGCATTCTGGGGGGGGGGGGGGGTTGTGTGACAGGGTCCATATGTGGAGCCGGCGATCAAAGTGCCGAGGCACCGGTCGCTCATTAGTTAGTGATGTTGTTTGCTGCTGTGGGGCTCCCCCCCCCCCCCCCCCCGCAACAGGCCAGACCCCCGGGCCCCACCCCCCTGGTTTTTTGGCTCCCTTCCCCCCGTCAGTTTACTCATCTCTGCCTGACTGCATTCCCTCACTGCCGATGACTAGATAAGCAGCTACGCCATCCCAGTGACGAATCGGGCTCATTAGAAAAAGCTTCTCTTTCGGCGTTCCGATGAAACTTCCACTGAACCGTGCTGATAACAGCGTGCACCAGGGAACAACAATTAGCATTGTGCCACAGTCCACAGAGTGTGGCGCTTATCCGAAGATTGCCTGCCACTCTCTGTTTTACCACAATGTTGCGTCCCGCTTTCTTTCAATTCAAGTTAAATCGATAATGCTATTGGACAAGCAACGTTGTCATCATCCCCCTGCAAACGCCGAAAACACACACAAACAAACTCCCTTCGCCCCGTAGCCCCGATTACTTCCACGGCCCTCGTGCGTTCATCAAAAGACGGTCGAAAGAGGCTGCAATTAAAACACAAAAAGGGGTATTAAAGTTGCCCTGGAGGGAGGTAATTACACCCTCCTGCTCCCCACATCTCAGCCCTTTTAGGGTAAGAGAGAGGGGGGGGGGGGGGGCAAGAGGCCATGAATAAGAGTGGGCGAGGGGGGTCAAAGGGCTTGGGTCGGGAATGGCTTTTGAAGTTGCTCTCCCTAAGTGTTTCTGTGTGAGTGCTACAGTTGCTTCATCAATGCGGCCGTTTCATACGTTTCAGCTCACTTAGCCGGGGGAGCAGTGGCTGAATGCGCGCCGAGGGGAGGCCGGCTAATGCCTCTTATTAATGGCAAATAGTTTTAATTATCCCGCTGCCTTTTGTTCTCCTCCAGCGCCTCCGCATTGACACGTTCCACATGATCAGCTTAATCAACTGACCGGAGTTAACTCCCATCAAAGGGGGCTTTGGCTTATGTTAAAAAGTCAAGCTAACGTTGACAGTCTTGCCTCCTTCGCTTTTGAAATCTGGCGTGATTCTGCTTTCCCCACGGTGTGTCTGTCGCTGTTTCCTTCAGCCAGATAGTTTGACTCTGTGCGTTAATGGGCCTGGGTTGATTTATTCCCATTGTTTCTGCCAGGATGCTTTCTATTAATCATGGTAAAGCTTTAAGCATGGAGAAACATTTGTTTTCTCTATTAAAGGGTGATTTGTGGAACCATGCCATGCATGCAAGGATTGTTTGCATGAGTCTGTCTCGGCCTGATACATTTTAATGTGCGATTGTTTATATCTGTGTGTGTGTATGTGTGTGTGTCGACTCCCGGGAGCTTTGTGGAATCTGGGAGTGCGTTTCAGTCATGATAAGGTGGATAATGAATGCCAATACACGAACAGTGATGATAGCAGCAGGAGAATGTCCAGTGGTCAGATGTATAAACTCACAATCTGATGAAAAGAAAGTGTACAGAATGAATCCTACTGCTCTTCTTCCTCTTTTAAGAGGGAATTCTTGATTTATTGAAGGCTCTTCGGGAGCAGGAGTCTAATCTCTCTTCTTTAATCTTTCTACTCTGCCTTTTTTCTTTCTTCTCAACCTGTATCTCCTCCTTTCATCCATCCATCACCCTCTCATCTCTGTGTTCTATCGCCCTGTGGAATGCCGGACCTCTGAGGCAAAGAGGTCACAATGAGGATCAAAGGTCGGACGATTGCCAACTCAGCACTGGAGAATTTTATACATGGACAGTCAGCGATAAAAGAGCTTTATGGATTTGAAATTCTATAGCAGGGTTCTATGGCGGGGATCGCTCTCTCCAAAGAAAACCCAATAAAACCAAAAAGTTTTTTGAACACAAACCTAAAAGTTGATCTTTTGAGAGCGACGTTAAACAGTGACTGACGCCACGTAAACAGCCATGTGCTGCCGCTGGGTTAAACATGCCTCTAATGTGACCAGAAGTTGACTGGCTTATGCCATGGATGAGTGAACCGGAATGCGGGAGGGGGGGGTATGTTTAATCGACACGTCCGAGCCTGGATTATTGGGTGGAGCAGAGGCTGAGCTGGGGTCCATTCATCAGCATCAGACCCTGCTTAATACCGGGGCTTAGAGTGGACAGTGAGGCCTGGAGCAGGGGCCGATGGCCGGGCACGGAGTAAGCAGTGGGACAGGCGGGGTGGGGCTTTCTTTTTCTCAACCTCTATTGTCCCCGAATAGAGAGGGGGTATTACTACTTTATGCTAGAGTTTCTGAGTTCAAAGGAAGCACAGACAACGTATAGGTGGATGTAAGTGTGTCCGTGGTTGGGAAATGGGGACTTTGCGGGGCTATAACAGAATATGAGATATTGGGCACAAGGGAGCAGTTCACTTCAAGATTAATTTGTTAAGTAGGTGGCGCTTAAGTGAGCTGTTCAGTGTTATTGCTCCAATTCTTCATGTTTCAATGGTCTATCTGTTCATCCATCACTGTCGGCCGTTCCCTCCCACTCTCTGTCCTTCTTTCATCACTCAATAAGCAAACCAGATCCTCATGTCAACCCCCGTCCCTCCCCCATCTCGATATTCCGCTGAACCAATCACAACCTGTCCTGGTGGTATTCCAAATATGCAGCTCTCTGACCCACCGTGTGCGGAGCCCAGCACAAAATGATGTGGGTACGCCTGTGTTGTCATAGAAACAAATGTGGTCCAACTTTTCCCCGGCTCTTCCCTTTAAACATAATATTAAAGCTCTCTTTCTTTGGCCTGTGAGGCTTTTTGTCATTCGTCTCAATCAGCTTTCCCTCGTCTGACATTCAACCTTTGTCTGCTTGCATCATTGCTCATTCCGCCGGCGTTCCTGGTCTGAACCAGCAGAGTTCCTGTTGCCACCCAGCAAAGGAGCAGCGCTTTAAGTCCAGCAGAGAAATAATTGGCTGATTCCTCTGGACTAAGGAGGCTTAGATGAGTACATATGCTCTTTCCAACTGTCCCCGGAGCCATTAGTATCTTGTAAAGGGCCAAAGCAGAAAGGTCATGACTGACATTACATTTCTTAGCGGGCAAATATCTGGGAGAGAAAACTGCCAGATTAATTTCCACGACTATATGTGACTACAGGACACAATTTTCCTCCTAACGAAGTGGCAGTAACACGTCCTTAGACAAAAAGCTGTGGTCAGTGTGGGTAAATCTACAGTTCACCTCGAGGGGGTAACATCATTTAAATTGGGAGACATATTTACTCCCTACATCTAGACGTTCAACAAACGTATAAAAGGAAAAACAATAGTCCATATTTACACAACAAAACAAACACAATGGCTCTTTTCGCAGATTAAATCTGACTTGTACGGGCAAATTCTTCCTCATTCAAACCCGTATACACTGTTGTGTCGCTGAGTGTCGCCTGACTCGACAAACAAGTCTGCAGCGCCCACGTACACACTCTGCTTCACACGCGCCACGGGGAAGAATTGTGACTCGACTGTAATTACAAAATCTGTGCTCCTGTGGAGTTGTTCTTCCTCTATGGTTTCTTGTAAATCGCTGCAGAGTGGCGGAGCGCCGCGGGAAGGAGCAGGGGAAGTCTGTTGTCCAGATAAGGAAGAGGCCAACGGGACGGGTAGCGGTCAGGGAAGCGTTTGTCGGGGTTCATGGGGGTAACACTGATCAGAGGTGAATCCAAACAGAGACGTTTGAGAAGAATCTGTTCGCCGAGTGGCCGTGGAAGACGGTTTCCAGGCCGTGTGCACCTTTACCGGAGTTGAACACATCCACCATAAAACAATTAAACGCCACGAATCGAAACGTTCTCACCCTTTTAAAGGTTTTCTCATACGAGCCTGGGAAGTTCAATCACCTCCTGGATCCAGACTTTTACGGTCTCGCGTGTGTTGGTGTGTGAGAAACGTATTGTTTATTGTGCAGACCGGATACGTAGTTTTCCCGGGAAAATACGCTCGCAGGAAGCGCAGCGCTACGCGAGAGACACACAGCAGACAGCCTGCAGACTCTGGCAACGCCACCGGCATGCCTGCGGGAAGTTCAAACCTTTGGCCCGATTCACTATCTAGAGCAGTCAATAACGTAAGCCCTACTACGTCTAGTGCTGCAAGACTGGGTGGGAATATTGAACAGGAAGAAAATCTGGGGGAGAAAAAAAAAACACGGTCAAGTCCGCAAAGAATAGGACAAATCAACATGCTTTACAGATCGTCTTGCATGCAAGAGGCGATTATGTTCAGTTTGACAAACTCAGTGAGCCTTTCCCCCCAGATTGAATTCACCAGACAGATTACAAAGGCAGATTAAGAGTGGTGGGAAGGGAGACAGGGCCAGACACTCTTGGACAAAGATGGATGGACTTAGGAATTTTCTGAGGAGAATGCCGACTGAAAGGGGGAGGGGTACGAGGTGGGATTAGGGAAGCAAGTGAAACCTGAATGTTTTCTTTAAAGGAAAGTAAATTGGGTTCAGGTTACTTGGAAATCACAGAAATCCCTTTTTTCTATCACCCGCAGCCAATCACACCTGCCAATGTACCTCCCCAATCTTATCTTTAATCTCTCAAACAAGCGTGCAAGCACATACAAGCACAGAAGGCAAGCAAACATTTCTACCTTTGGCCCATTTATTTTCTTTGTCTTCTGATTTCCCCTCCTTCACCAACTAGACTCTGTCTAAGACTGACTTTACTACTTGAGAAAGAAAGTCCAAAAGGAACCACACACAGGCAAAGAAGAAAGAGCAGGAAGTGTGCAAAAAAAAACAACACTTTTGCTCGGCAGACTCTAGTGGATTTTCATGAGAAGGTAGAAGAAGGAGCTTAGAGGGAAAGAGAGAGAGAAAAAAAGTGAGAAGGAAAGGGCAAAGTGCCTTGTGACGGACCGCCACGGGTGCCAAGAACGATAAAAAAAATTCCACACCTCTTACCATGCTTCCCCTTTCGCCCCCCCCTTCTCTGAGAACCAGAGTTGGAGGTGAGGAAATAATAGACTGAAAAGGGACAGCTTGTAAAGTTGAGATAAAAGCCAGAGAGGGAGCGAAGGGGACCAAAAAGACAGAGGGGGCAGAGAATGAGGCTTTCCCAGAGGCAGAGCCGCGACTGAGCGAAGAGAGGCCGGCCTGAGTGGCAGTGAGTATTCAGGGACCACCGCCGTGACAGAATGACTGACAGATTGATAGAGGCCTTGCCACTTCATCACAAAGTGAACTCTGACCCACGATCAGTCACACCAGTTACCATTTTCTTTCTGTGGCCCACTGTGAAGACCATTCTCCAATTTGTATGGGATGCATCACAAAACGGTCACATTAACTGGATAAATACCCAGAAAAGCCCTCATGTGGGTCAAGCATACCAGACATTACTCTCCTTTGAGCCAACAGTGCACAGAAAAAAAAAAATCACATTCTCAATTAAAATCAGTCTCTGTCAAATTAAACTACCTTAAAAATGTAGAACAGCGAATAAAAGCTCCAAAATGTGAACATGTTCGCTGGAAAAAGTCATAAAGTTGGTGTTAAAGTAAGTAGATCGGTGTTTGACCATGAAATGGTTAAAAGATTCTCAGAGCCAAGCTAAAAAGGGAACCTGGCCAAAGAAAAAAAAGAGGTGGGGGTATAGGAGAGAGGGGGAGACAGGTACAAAGCAGAAGAGGAGGAGGAGGAGGAGGAGGAGGAGGAAGGGTGGGGGGGGTGAAGGTGGAGGTCTCCCCATGCTCTGTCAGCAGGGAATAGGGAAAAGGAAGAAAGAAGGTGTGAAAGAACAGATTATGGCTTTACGTTTGCTGCTGTTGGAGTCCAGACGGCTCCTGGGACCACGTGAATGGGCACAAACATGTGGCCCATGTGTGTGTGTGTGTGTGTGTGTACGAGAGTGCGTGAGTCACCGTGAGTAAGCCCGTGCAAACAGACACTCCCTTTACGAAAAAAAAGCCTGCGCACGCCGGCGTGCCGGAGCGGGCTGGAGAAGCACTCCCTCCTCTGAACCCGAGCTAGCTGGTGATTAAGCCGCCGTTATCGGAGACAAAGCACGGAGATGCACCGCCGGCCAGAAAAAAAGCTAGCGCCAGAACGCAAACATTGCCTGGAACTGATTTCCTTCTTGCTAAAACAAAGTGAACATGAAAGTTCCAGCAGACTCGACCTTGCAAGTCAGCAGGCCTCAGGCCCACACACACACACACACACACACACACACACACACACACACGGGGACCCTGCATATGGATGAGAGGGTGTGAGTGGCTGAATCTTTCAACAAAACAAGCTGAGAAAAGGGAAATGAGCTTTTGCCACATGGGCCAGAGTGATCGATCTGTGATCAATTTGATTAAAGACGGCTCCCTGATTAATGTGTGGGGGGCGATAAACCAGAGAAAAAGAACACATCAGGGGAAAAACCAAGAACCAATCACAGGGGGGAAAGATTGACGTCAACACAATGTATCAAGTCCAGGGTCAAAGGGGGAGAGGAGATTGCCGGGGGGGGGAGTGATGAAAACGGGCCGTGAGGAAACTTTTTCGGAGAAGTTGTTTTTTTTTTTTTTCCCTTTCCACACTGAAGATTAAAACTAAGCGAGCAGAGATTTAGCACAGTCATCTTGAAAACAAAAGCAAGTGCAAAAGAAAAGGATTACCAGCACGTACACCAGCCCTTACACAACAAAACGCCTCCCCATCTGGGACGCCCATTTTCATTCTGATTTTCAGAGAAAAAGGGCTTTGGCCCGCCGTAATTATGGACTTTCTGAGAACATTAAACGTTGCACTGGAGCCACGCGGGGAGATAAGGGGGGAGAAAGTGGTTGGGTGCGAGCTTGTGAGAGAACATTTGGTGTTTGAGTGCGAGCCCCGCGCTGATTGATTTAGATGGCGTCTGTTGGAGTGATTGAGTGATTGTCTGCCAGGAGTCTGTTTGCACTTGCCTCTCCGTGCATGTGTGTGTGCGTGCGTGTTTGTGTGTGGGTACGTGTAGACGTTTGTTTGTGGAGTGCAGACCTGACCCTCTCCGTTTTCTCCCCGGCCATCATCAGCCACAGTTCTAATTGAACCCCACTTATTCCCAACGCCCCTTAACCTCCACAATTTGAGCTCCAATTTCTCCTCCCTGAGCCATCCATCTCTCTCCCCCACACGGTGTGACCCGCCTGGGCAGATTTCAACGTACCTCCTCTGTCTCTGTCGCACAGCATTATTACTGCTCTTAGCACCTGAAATATGGACGACCTCACGTCTCCCTGACAGCTACACACAATCCCATGTCATATCTCTTAACATAGGAGATTTACCCCCCCCCCTTCACCCCCTACAAAGGTTAGGGCTCTCTGTCAGATGGAGAGGATATTGCAAAAGATATTTCAACACATTCCACTGTGAGTCAAGCCAGTAAAATTGACTCCGAAAAAATAAACCTTGACATGGAGAAAAAACCTTCCTCAGAGGATGTCAGATAATGACTGAAAACCTTTGACTCCGAATAAATCAAACTGTAGGAGAGATCCACGAATAACTTACCTGAGCTATCAACAGCTGTTTTACATTAACATCTAAACCACGAAATGTCATGCTCGCAGTTTATTATTCTAAGTACATGATAATAACCTGATAAAAAACTCATCCTGGAGCAAAGTTACACAGGCAGCGCAAAGCGGATTGGCTCTAAACAGGCAGGGCGATGAATTACAGGTAAACAGCGCCGGTATAACAGGTTCAGAAGACGAGTAAAGGGGAGGAGACAAGACTCCCAAGTGTTTTGCATTATCATGTCAACAGAAGCCATTTGCTTCCTTCACAAATTCATCACAACAACCGCACTAAATATGCAAAGAGTAGCGACTATTCGCATTCACGCGTGCGTAAAGCACGATTTTATTTACGATGCGCGCAAAAAGTTAGCAATCTCGCACTTTATTTCACCAAAGGGCGACATTTAAAAAAGGAAAAAAAAGTAGACATAAGAAAAAAGAGATATTTACTTTGGGTTGGTGCTGTTCCAGAAGACGCTGTGCCGCTCCGCTGACGCAAACCAGGCGCACGCGCTCACAACCAAGCCAACAATCCAAACCAGGTCCATCGTGGAGAGGAGTGCAGGCATGCAGAGTCGGGAAACACAACACAGGTATAGGCTGTGCGAAATAAAGCTTAAAAAAACATAAACAAAAGTGTTTTCCGGGGGAAAAAAAAAGTCCTCCTTCGCGCACCACAAATCTGCGCGCTGACGCAAACAAATGCAGAAGGGACGCAGCAGATAGAAATGACCTGATTTAGATTCAGAACACTGGAAAAAGACTCGCGGAGTTCGACTGAACTCGATAAATCCGTAGTGAATGGGAGCAGGGGACGCGTGGAGGCTGGTTTTGTGAAACGCACGCAGAAGAGGGCCCCGCCCCTAACCACCCGAAGAGACCAATCACAGATCCGAGAGAGACCGACGATTAACCAGCCCGTTGTGTTTTTTTACCTGATGTACACAACAGCCAAAAAGAAGATGCTGAACATCCCCCCCTTCCACACATCCATTCACAGCCGTCCAGGCTGAGATGGCCCGGACAGGTCAGGAGGCCATCGCGCACAACCCACGGCCAAAAAAACTACACCACCCGGAGCAAACCCACGCCTACACAGGGAGGAACGCCACACAGAAAGGCCGCCAGCCGGGATCTGAGCCAGGACCTCTCGGGTTGTGAGGCTACAGGGCTAAACAAAAACAAATCCGCATCATGTAACGCACATTTAGTCGGAATCACTGGAAAATGAGTTCATCACACACAAATCAGTTCATTTTAAACAGCAGCTGGGAGGGTTTTTGGTGTGCAAAGATTATCCTGGACATTTCTTTTTATAAACAGTAGGTAGATTTTTAAAAAATACAAATATTTAATTGGATTTACAGGACATAATGTTATGTCTTAGACATCTACCTTGGATTCCCATTGTGTAAAAAACATAAAATGAATTGAAAAATTCCAATAAATAAAATACAACAATAAAAAAAAGCAGGCTAGAATGTTACCATTGCCATTGAATGACTACCTGCCTCACACACTGAAAATAAAGCCTGCATATTACAGCTGTCAAACCAGCATTTTGCATTAAACTACGTTATATGTAGTCATTCCGGTTATTTCATGGAGCTGTGAATGTGTTCCTATTGTAATATTTTTCTCCTGAGCTCTTATCGGTCCCTGAAAAGCAACACCCTGCCTGAGTACTGGTTGGGCAACGTCTGTTGTTTGCATAGTGAGTTCTTAATCTCCACGTATATTTTTGTCCTAAAGGTTTTCATTGACTCTTCTGGATAATGACAGACATTAGTGGCGCATGTCATTGTGTTTTCCTCACAGCTGCTCTGCCCTTTGGTGTAAAGTCATCATATTCACACATCTATCTATCTATTTCTACTGGGAACTCCATGTTCACTGCACACAGTGCCAGAGGGACTTTTTCCAGCCCCGCTTCTGCCCCACATAGTACTTTACTTGCAACCTGTTCAGCCGCATAACTTTGGTAGGAATTGCAGGAATGATCAATAAGTTTAAAGGAAGCGTACCCATTCTGAATAGACAAATCCCAGCAGCTGAATTCAAAAATTCGGATGAGATTCAGGGATTTGATCTGATAAATTCTGTGTTCTCAGGAAATCCGAGGGAGCAGGACTCCAAGGAGCAACTTTTCATGTTTGAGGAGTTCCCCTCCATAGAGAGCAGGGGAATAAATCAGTGCATTCTTAAAACATACAGGCTCCTCGCTACCCTAAGGAAAACCCTTGCAAATTTTATGATTGTTAATAAATATATCTCTCACACTTTAGCTCAGACACGGAGAGGAGAGATGAAATCGGAGACGGTGTGAGCCGACAGCTCCACCAGATAACAGTTAAACTGTCAGGTAGCCTGGAGATTTATATCTGCTGCTACCTGACAGCCTAACTGACGTGTGGCAGCTCGAGCAGGAGAAGGAACATTTAAGTTGAACTGGATCTTTAAAACTCTGTCATTCCTGATAAATTTTTTTTCTTACACCTTTGCACTGTCTATTCAATAAGAAATGTACATCCCAAAAACTCCTTAAATGATCGGCTCAAGGGGCTAAAGGGGAACATGTCGCACACTGGATGATACTTTCTGTGTTCAGAGGGTGTGGTGATTCAGTCTCAGCAAGCTGCATTTAAAATTCCGTTCAAGTTGACAAACTATCTCAGACTTAATAGTGCAAATACCGGAAGGCTTATACGCATTATAATTGCGCGCCCCTTTTTTGTCAGGCAGGTCATCCATGAGAATGCGTTCTGTATTCATGGAGAGCGCTCCTCCAAGTGGATCGATTTGTGCAGAATCTCATTGTTTTATTTGGCTGGGTGGGAAGATAAGAGGGGGGAGATGGACGGCCGGCGTAATTGTCATCTGCGTCGCGGTGTTTGTTGTGGAAAAGCTTTTCGTCACGTCAACGCTGGTGTCAAAACTCCACGAGGACGATAAATGAGCGGGGCCTTAATTTCATGCAAACCTGAATTTCTAAACAAGCAGAACAAAACTGCTGCTCCCTCCTCAGTTGAGATAGTTTTTTTTCCCTTTTCAAATACCCAACATACACAAATGAGCACCCGGGGCCTGCGTGAGCACAAAGACACACACAAATGCGCACAAACACACATAAACACAACCCTTTTCACCTCAATTCCTCACAGAATTTGCACTCAGCCTGCTCTGTGGCATGAAAATAAGATATAGGAAAATGATAGGGACGACCGTTTAATGCAGCATGGGAACCTGACTGTCCATAATTAGTTTTTTTCTCTTCTGTTTTCAACCAAAGTAATTAGATGATGTCATAGAAATGCACTTTCGATGATCCAGAGAAGATAAATCAAAACAATAGCTTTTATTTTCTCCCTGAACACTCTGGATTTAAGTATGTTTTTGCTGTTTTTCAACCGAGAGCAGGTGTAATTGCAGTAACACGCGGGCTTTTTGTCTTTCTCTCCAGAGCATAACCATTAAAGGAGAAGTGTTTGGTCCCTTAGCTGTGAATACAAATGAGAGGTTTAATAACAGACTGTCATCATGGCCCCCATCCCCAAACAACACCCTGCTATCTATTTACATAAGTGGACTCTGCTGGTGTGAACGGCCAGGCAGTGCTCACTTCTGTGTGTTCCTCACAAAGCTGGAGCTTTTTCTGCCCCATTGTTAGTCAGAGCTCCACGGCAGGAGTCGTTCCCGAACCTATGAGCCCTTTTTCCGCTAACAATGGAAGTGAAGTGTTTCCTGTAATTAGCAATGCCCAGTTCTACCTCTTTATTAAAAAAAAAGAAAAAAAGAAGCTCGTTCCCTCTGTAGTTGGCCTATGAAAAAAGTTTGTTCACGAACTTGTTACTGCTTGTTCTGGCACAGATGATATTTTCTCTAAGGTTTCCTGCGGCTAGACGCTGCAAATGTCAAGGTGGAACAAATTAACAGCAAAGCCAAGGGGACAGAAGTAGCTGTGACTCTGCGGAGATGAAGCCATTTGTGTCCGTTCTTAATAAGCTGCGCCTAATGAACGCAGGTACACAGAGAGTAGTCTGATTATGCGCGGCCACATCCTCTCAGAGAGCAGGACTCACTGGGGTAAGACTATCAAACGCCCGTTTTCACGCGAGCACAACAGTTATGAAACCCCGAGCCATTGTTCGCATTGGATGCGTGCGAGAATGAATACGTCTCCGCAGAATAAAGTCCAGATGATCTCTGCAGGAGCCCATGTGTGGCGAGCTGCTAAGGGCCCGTAGGATTCATGGAGAATGACTGCACACGCTGGCAGCGTCCTCCGTTTTTTCCTTTTTTTTACCCCCTCCTGCCTGCTTGGAGCAAGCTTTCCATTATTTGTCATAGTGTCCAAATACATGTCACACCGCCATTAAAGCTGTAAACAAAGCGCTGGGATTTCTGCCTCACAACAGCAGAGGAAAAGTGTGAGGACTGTAGACCACACTGAGTATAAGGTCTTTAGATGAGCGCCCTCCACTAATTCAGTCTCCCTCCTTACCATTTCTTGTGGCCAACTGAACACCAATGAGATTTGGATGGTGGAAGCAAAATATATGTGCACATAAGAGTTAAATGATGGTATGTTGACGTATGTAAACTTGAGTTGCATGTTGGCAATGGACAAGAGCAAGGAAAGACTTTTAAACCTTTATTTTAAATGGAGGTGTTTCATATTCAGTCACAAGATGAGGCTGCCAAGGTGAAATGTGCATTAAAAAAAGAAAGACATTTCTTATCATGTTTTCTTGTGACATCCACGTCTTCATTTTTTCTGCTTTAGCATGTAAACCTCATATATGAATTTAGGAGCAACACATTTAAACGAGTGATTTAGATCTCAAACACAAGGGTTTGACTCCATCGTTTTGCTTTGAACTCTTCAGTTTCACCTCATGATGTGGTGAAAACGATTCCACGATAGATAAGATGGCACTCAGAAAAGTTCTCCACTGGATATCCGAGTGGTGTGGTAGAACAAAGAAACCTCCAAATTCTGCAGAGGAGGGCACCCCTTGGATCATGACTGGGAAACACTGTGAGTGGGATGTGTACAGTGAATCAGGGATCCGTCTCTAAGGTGAATCTGCAGACTGTGGGGAAGGAAACGAGGAATCACAGAGGGTCCTTGCTGATAGGTGGGCTGTCATTGGGTTTGGGATCTTAAGAAAGCACAGACGGACATGCAAAAAAAATTGTACGCTTCCAAATCCAACAGACGAGCAAAGCTAAGAGACAAAGAGCAGCTTAGAAGGAGGCGGATGAAGAGGAGGAGGATTGGGGAGGAAATGCAAACGCAACGTTAGATAACAAGAGTGGAAGACCAAGAATGAAAGCAAAAGTGAGGAGGTGTGTGTGATGAGACTGAAAACCCAGAAAAAGATGAGTTTAAGAGGGACAAAATGCAAAATGGAATTATGCTGGGAAAATAAATCAGATAAGGCATATAATGTCATGTCGTAGCTGGAAACTCTTAAGCGGACCACAACTTAAGACA